CCAAAGTCAGATGCTTAACTGACTGAGCCACCCAGGCACCCCAAGATTGAAAATATATTAAAGATATGTTTAAAAACATTTTTTTTTTGGCCTGGAATTTCTATCTTTGTATAGAAAGGCAGTACTCACTACTCCTTACCTCGATCTGCCATCTTGATTGTAAGTTTCTAATGACTCTTTAAACCCATGTCATTTGGCTTCTTCCCCACTATTCCATTGAAAATGTATCTACTAAGGTCTCAAATGACCAAATAATCATTAGGTCCAGTGGAAATTTTCCAGTGTTTACAGCATATGATATGGGATGATGTTCTTCACTTCTCCCACTTAAAGACTTTCTCCTTCTGGGCTTCTATAAAGCTGCTTCTCACAGTTGTCTCTGCTTCCAAATTGCTCCTTCTCAACCTCCTCTTCAGGCTATAAGTTGTTGATTTTCAGTCTCTGGCTCTACCCAGATGTGTCTCTTGGGCTCTTCACCCGTGTGTATCCATCTGCCTACTCAGTATTTTTGTATTGTCCCACAAACACCTAGACTTTTTGGAGACTAGATAAAAATTCCCCTAAATCTATTTTAAGAAATAAAGAAGAGTAGAGTGTTATTTCTATTGATCATGGAGAAACTTTACATGAATATGGAAGAGTAGTGATTTGGATATGATAGTAAGGAACAGGATGAATTCTCACCACAGCTTTTGGTTTCTAGGTACACAGGTCATGGCAGATGAATATTCTCTAAAGGAGGGGGATCTGTGGGATTTCAAGACCTTAGAGGAAAGCCAAGTCTCGGTTAAGAGGAGATGGGAGAATCTTCAGTGACGAGACCAAGCTGAACTATAATCCAAGGACAAAGAAAGCAACATTTAGGGTGTACAACAAGGAGGAAAGTAGCTGAAAGGAGAGAAATTATAAGGAAACAAAGCACTCACCAGGTGTTTCCTGAGCTTCTTGAGGGCAGGTGCCAATCATAATCTTCTTTCCATCCTTAGAATCTATCCCAGCGTCTGGTATATGCTAATCTCTGAGCAAATGTTTGTTATAATAAAATGAGACTGTTGTGAATGGCTTTTAATTATTTTCCATGAGGGGGAGTGCAGTAAAAGATCCTGCTTTCTGATGTTAAGAGGAAATGAGAAAGAAGGATATTAGCTTTGGGCATTTAGAAGGACATAACCTAATTCTACAGACATTTATGAATGCCTATTGAGTTAGCCACAGTTGAGTGTAACACCCACATCTGTGTATCCTTTCCCCCCAGTCAGATAGATTAATGGGCTATGATTATCACTGCAGGAGATTCTCTTCCTTCTCCCAGCACTTAGGGGGAGATATTTATGATACAGAACAGGTCCTACTAGAGGATATGGCCTGCCCACTTTTCTTCCTGTAAGTTTATTAGAAAATAATTTTTTAAACAGAAATTAAATATAATGAATAATACACCAGTCATTGTGTTATAGGAGCTGAAATGCCTCTTGCTGCAAATTTCCCCTCTTTTAGATATTTCACTCATGGTGGCAGAGCAGGTGAGTTACCTCTACTATAATTTCTCCTAATGATGCTAATTGTTTGGTAATAATGCAGTGTCCCTGCCTGGCCACTCTGGTGCCAGATTCTGAAATCTGTCACCTATAACAGGATGGTATTAATAAAACGAAAAAAATGTAATTTCTGTCTTTGCATAATGCCATTTTCCCCCTCTGGTCTGTGACATTGTCTTCCTCTGAATTTCATAGATATTTTCGTTGTTGTGCGTAGAGATTTTTCTGTCATATGTTCAGACATATGTAGACTTCCCAGACAGTCTACAGACCTCCATGTTCTCTCTGTAGCCGCATACCTCCATCACTATTAATCCCTTTGTGGACCCACTAATTACATCATGGCTCAAATGTGTTTGTTAGAACAAAGATTGGCAAAGTTCATCTTTGTTTCAAGGAGTGCTCCATCTGTTGTGTGATACAGCTATAAACCCATGTGTGTGTGACTGAGGGGTAAACAAAAATGCTGAGGAGTACAGGAAGAGAGCCTCTGAGAAGGGTAGGTGAGAGGCATTGGAAAAAAAATTGACAAGTTTTCATTTCAGGACTCTGTACCCTTCTTGGTAGAAGTTCTAGACAGTGGTAGTCCACTTTCTGGAGGGAGATACAGAGGCAGCTTAAGGAATTCTGGTCACTGCTATTTAAAACTGTCCCTTTAAATAAAAAATACCTTTGTCTATTATGTAAAAATACAGGAACTCTCAACCGCTTTGCCAAAGCACATTGATATATTGTGAACCCTATACAAATATGTTACCAAATTTTGACAGATTTGTAAGACTAAAGCTTGCTCTGAGATTTCTACATTTCAGTGATAAATCACTGAATTTTAAGCTGAGTAGATCTTGGAACTGAATGTAGAGTAGGGAAGAGAAGGTGCCAAATAAAAGGTAAGAAGCATAGTGCATTGTCAAGCCAGTCCTCCAAGTGATGGAATGTTCACTGAACACATGCAACCATGACCTTCTCTTTAATTAACCATGGTAAATTAAAGAGAATGTGGACAGGGGAGAATATGACTCTCTTTTCACAGTCAGATAGTGTTGAGGGTTGGGCAAGAGAATGGGGAAATGGCTTGATGGGCTTTCGGCAATACTGTGAGACATCATCACAGAGTAGCGATGGTGGGCTAAAAATTGCTGACTTTTCAGTGTTCTTTTAGGTCCTTTAATCTCTTCAAGTATGCAACTAAAATTTATAGTATTCAAAATGGCACTTCCCCCACTGCCCCGAATGTAGTGCAAAATGAGAATCACTGTAATAGCTACATTTAAAATTAAAATGGAAGAGATCGCTTTGTATCTTTTTCTTATCAGGTAAAAGCCTTTAACATCTCTTACCTCAAATGAATATCATCTGTTTCCTTTTTATCCGAGTCACAGAACATGAGAGCTCATTAAAATCTGAGTTTTGTTAACTCTCTATGACAGTTTCCTCCATTCTTTTCTTTATCTTCCTTGCACAAGCAGGATTATGAGGTTGCTTGATAGGTTTTTAATATTGTCATGAAAAATCTTCCCTTGGGCATGTTTGTGCAGTAGATAACATAACCTTAAGAACTTTATTCAAATGAACTTATTCAAATGAAATGGGCAGACACCATCGAGTCAGCTCAGCACCAAATACATTTCAGATAAGTTCTTGTCTATTGCCGTTTGTTAGCTAATTTGTAATAGAACAAAGAACCACTAGACGGAGCTAGGACTTAAGAAATCACAGCTGTAAGTTGGGTAACTAATGTGATGGGCAGAACGATATCTTATGCAAGAAGTGTGTCATTACTTTGATTTCAAAGCCTATGCAAGCCTTACATCACTCAGCTAGCAGCCGTCATCTGTTTACTTTGTGTCCACACAAGATGATGTCCATAACGGTCCAATTTATTTAGTCACTCAAATGATGATGGCTCATCTTGGTATAGCACTTTACAATTTAGAGTGCTGCCCCTGGCATAATTATGTTTGATATTCGCAGTTACTCTGAGGCATTGCTGGGCAAGAAGCAGTTCTTGTATTTTTGAGACTAGTGAATGGAGACAGGTTTTCTGCAATACATTAGGAATGGAGACAGGGTTTCTGCAATACATTAGGGTGTGTCATTGAGGTTGTGGGATCTGTTTTCCCCTCTTAAACATTTTTGTTTAGACTGTTGATCCAGCCTGAAACTAACTAGAAAGCTATCAACTCATACCTTTTGTGGGGCACAGCCTCCGACCACACCCGCTGTGGAAAAGGGTCATGTGCAGGTGGAAATCTTCCAAAATAAGTGAGCACAGGAAAGTGAGCAAAAGTGAGCTATACCCAGAAACCTTTGGTGTATGTGATTCTTCATTATAGCAGGACCAGGTGTGGAGACCAGCACCTCACTCTGTGTGGTGCAGACCCTCCTTCAAGCCGAGGCTGTGGTTATTACCTAATGTCAAGTGTTCAGGAAGCTGCCCACCACCGCCCCTCCTATGCTAAGCATATGCCCCTCAGAGGCGAGCCCACCGTTTTGATGCTTGTCAGTTTGTTCCTGTTTCCTAACCTTACACACGGGTCCTAATAGGGCGTGCTTCAACTAACCCCCCCCCCAATTATGTATATATACAGTCCAAATATTTTCTCCGGCTTTTGTTAAAATAGTCTCTGGATAGGAGTGGAAATCGGGTCAGTCACTAAGCAAATTTATCAAACGACCAGAGCCTGCATTAGTGCCTTCGGTTATCTTGAAAAACACCTCAAGACAGCTCTTCTGGAGCCCAATCAGTTGCTCACTCTGCAAGTCTGACCTCTTACAATTCAACTCCTTTAACTACTGGTAAAACACCAGCAACTTTCACAAATAAGGCTAACAGACCCTAAGGAGATGCGGGAAGGTGTTCCAAGAGCATCAGAGCTCCCAGAGGCTCCAGCCTGAAGCAGAGCGAAGGAAGAAGGTTACAGCATTACGGACCTCCAGGCTTGTAGTGACCTTGTTGCAGGTGAATCCACCCAGGATGAGGGAGGCTCAGAACGCCCTCTTCTCCACCAGCCCAAGGCGCACCTGGAACCCACTTCCCGGCGGTGCCCAGAGGGTGGCGCTGTCAACCCAGCCTCGGCCCACAGCCGCCCGCCGCTTCCCCGCGGCTGCGGGAGCCCCCCGCTCGCTCTCCCGCAGGCCGGTGGGGGGGGCGGGCAGCGCCCGGTAGGGGGCGCCCCGGCCCAGTCGCCGCGGCTCCCTCCGCCCACCCGGAAGCGGCTGCGGCGAGGCGAGCCCCGGGCGAGTGCACAGCTAGGCGGGCGGCAGGGAGGCAGGGAGGCAGGGAGGCGCGAAGAGGGCGCGAGGGTGGCAGCCGGAGGGAGCAGCCGCCCCTGGCCGCCCGGGTCCCCGCGGGGCGCATGGGGCGCTTCGAGCCGGGATCGCGCGCGGGCCCCGCGCCCAGCTTCCTGCTGCCGTGAGAAGCCGCGCCGGACGCCCCCAGGACCCCAAGCTGCCGGGAGGATGACCATGGCCGGGGGCAGGAGAGGACTGGTGGCCCCGCAGAACACGTTTCTGGAGAATATTGTCCGGCGGTCCAGTGGTAAGAGGTGCATTCGAATTTCGGTTACCCAGGCTTTTTATCCGTGCCTCGATTGCCGACGCCTCCAGCCGCTCGGCGCCAGCAGATGCAGCAGAACCCGGAGCGCTGCTGGGAGCCGCGGCGCGGGCGCCCGGGGTTGCCTCCCGGAGGCTGGGCTAGGTGGGCAGCGTGGGGCGAAGGCTGTGGGCCCCCATCCCAAGAGGAGAGCTCTGTTGGGGACGCCTTTGGGGCCTTTCTCGCGCCTTCTCTGTCTCCTCTCCAGAGAGCGCGACAGCTGGTGGGCAAAGTACTGGGAAAAGTGATGGGAAGCCGGACGCGGCGGGAGCGGCAGCGCGTTCCCCGTGGGTACTGCCCACCCCCTCCGTGAAGCGCCTCAGGCTGCACCCGAGGCGCCTCCTCCCCCCGGGAAAAGCCAGCAGTAGAGAAGGCCACTCGGGTCCCGGCCTCCGAGGGATGGGGGGGGGTCGGCGGCTGCCCCCACCTTGCATCGGGTAGCTGAAAAGTCCGAGGTATAGGGACACGGGGACTTAGGGACGTGCCACAGGCCGCCCAGTTCCACCTCTTCACCCACCCACCCTCTTCCAGGTTAAGTTAAGGCTCACGAGGGGCAGTTTCCTGGACTTAGATGGGAAGTGGAGCGCATGGGTGCAGAGCTGTCCAAGCGGTCACAGGGACAAACCTGTCATAGTTCCTCTCTTCCACACCCCAGCAGCGTTTTATGCCTACAAAGCTTGCTCACCTATAAATTCCCAAATGCGCCAAGCTTGTAAATCTATCCAGTAAACCATTGCTCCCCGCTGCTCGCTCGCTCGCTCTCTGTCTCTCTCTGGCATTAAGGTGGACAGTGGCATGAAGCGCTGGACGGCGAGAGTCCTAGGAGCAGGGATGGAAAGGGACACATTTCAGATGTCTCCTTTAGGACCCACAGCAAAGCATCCTGGCTAAAGCATTTGCAGAGCAGATAGCTCGGCATCTGGAAGGTGCGGTGCGCACCAGTTCATTAAAGGGGTGAAACGGAAGGGGCCGAGTCTGGAGATGCTCTTTACAGGCTCCGGGACTTCTTTCCTTTCAGAGACAGATGACAGACATGAAGAGCTAACTTAGGAAATAGGTTTTAAAAATGTGGAAATATGACCGTTTCAGAGCCTTAAGGGAGGAGCTTGTGTTAAAATCATGGGCTTCTATTTGGATTTAGGTAGGGGTTCAGAAGAACATGAAAGGTGACTTATGCTCCAAAGAAATACTCTTTAATTAAAAAGTGATTTAAGTTTAGCTTACAATGGGAAACTTACCAACTAAGATAGCATACTGCGTATTATTTAAAAATTTAAAAGTGATCATTTATTGTGTGCCTCTTAAGAATAAGGGTATTGAAGAGTCTGTAGTTAGTCACCTTTCCCTTCAAGGTCTTCCTCACTAAAACTAACTAAGGTGGCTTTTAGAACAAGGTCTCAGCTATTACCTGGAACTTCAAGAGGAACTTGATTATTACATGAATAGCCATAATGAACTCTTCTGTCATTAAAAAAACTGGAGGTGTGGATAGGTTTCTAAATAAAAGCACTCTTTTTTTTGGTTTTGTTTTCCTTAAATAGTTTATTGTCAAGTTAGTTTACATATAACACCCAGTGCTCATCCCAGCCAGTGCCCTCCTCCATGCCCATCCCCTCCCCACCCCCCCCTTGAATGCTGAGAACAAACAAACTAAAAGCACTCTTTAAGAGTTAATTTGCTGTGATTGCTGTGGTTTTTGACCTGTGAGGGGGCATGGAGATAGTCTTGCAGGTTTGGGGATCCCGTCACCAGTGACACCAGCCTTTTCATAAATAGTGACAATTCCATTGTTTTGGGTGAAGATGCAGTGTCCTTTAAGTTAGGGGAAACGTTGTGTCTTATGTGTACCATGTTATGTTTTTGAGTGAAGAGGGAGGTAACAGAATCTTACATGTAACAGTCATAAGGTTCCTTGGGCTTGTAGGAGGACCTTAAGAATTGTGGAACTAATACTGCACACACACACACACACACACACACACACACACTGAATCTTGGAACTAAGAAGGCAGAATACCCTAGTTTAGTTCATTTACTTAGAGCCACTTCTCCTCTTGAAGCATGTGTAGAATGTCAATAGAATAAGTAGCTGGGAATATTTTTAGCATTGGCATTTTAATTTCAGTACTGATCCCAACAGTTTGACTTCAGTTAACCCACCCACCCACCAACCAACATCAACCACACAGACAAAACACCTTAGGAGAGTTAGGTGACCTCTTACAATTCTCTATGATTTCAGAAGAAAATATTCTGGTCTTGAAATGTGAGATTTAAGCCTTTAGTGATCCCTTTCATCACATTTCCTAAACACAAATAGAAAAAAACGTGGACTTTTAGAAATATCACAATATCTACATGCATTATTTTATTTTACCGTGATGGAAAAAGTCTATTTAAAAATATTGATCGTCTCTTCCTAAAATCCACCAGCCATTTTTTTTTGGACATTACAGTATTTAAATAGCATTTTACCTTTAAATAGAAATACTTTTTGGACCGTATTTATTAAACATTTTCTCCCAGTAGTCCTATGCAGTATTACTCTTCCTCCTTTACAGATTGCAAAACAGAGTCCTAGGAATATTAAGAGACTTATTCAAAGGGGCAGGTACACAGTCCCAGATGCAGGAGGTCTTTGGAGGGTATCATTCATCCTTCCTGTGGCATCATTGTTTCACAGCCATATGACTTCGCCTATGGAACTATTGTTATCCTTAAAAAATAACCTACTCTCATTATATGCTTATGGATAATGGAACTGGCTTTGTCTCGGGCATTTGAATATCTAGTATCTGGAATATGATAACCTGTAGGATTAGATGTTCTGTCCTCTGCCTCTCCTTCCCCATCTTTGTATAGATGAAGACATGGAAGCAAGCACATCTCCTCAAATATTTAAGGGCACAGCTGATGAGACCCAAAGTCCCTTTGATCCCCGTGTCATGCTTCTTATGGGACACCATGCAACGACCTTCCTTGTATTACCATTATGTTCTCTAGAGAAGCTTAATTTCCCAGTGGAGATTAAATAAAATGTTATAACACCACGGACAATATCCACTTTGGCTAACAGCCACACTGCCACATCCCAACAGAATAACCAGGCAAAGGAGAATCTAATTCTGTTTTAAAGAAGGATAGTATTTTCACCTTTGCCAGTGGTTTAGCTAAAGTCACAGGCAGGGTAACAGGCACTTATTCATGCACCTGCTGCCATTATAAAGTGTTGAATAACTTCTCAGAAAATATCATCTTAGATCCTCATATGCCAGTGGGGGAGGTATAGTGCCTCCATTTTAGAGTGTTAAGAGCTGAGAATTGTTTGGTTAAGTAATTGACTTACAGTTAGTAAAAGGCAGAGTTAGAAAAGGCAGAGGCGGGGGACCTGGATGGCTCAGTCGGTTAAGCATCCGACTTCGGCTCAGGTCACGATCTCACAGTTCATGGGTTCGAGCCCCGCATCGGGCTCTGTGCTGACAGCCAGCTCAGAGCTTGGAGCCTGCTTCAGATTCTGTGTCTCCCTCTCTCTCTCTGACCCTTCCCTGCTCATGCTGGCGCTCTCTCTCTCTCTCTCTCAGAAATAAATAAAACATTAAAAAAATTAAAAAAAAAAGAAAAGGCAGAGGCAAGTCAGGGACTAGTCAGCAGCTGTGACAGATGTGCTCATTCAAAAAGGGTTTATTGAGCACAGTTGTTGAACACTGGGGATAAGGGGGAAACACAAAACCCTCCTTACCCTTAGGAAGCTACATTCTAGTGAATCTTGGTCTAAGCATCTTGACCAATGTTTTCTGGCTGCAGCTCTTACTTAGGCCTGATGTTGTGTTAAAAAACAAACAAACAAACCACAAAACCATTTTTAAGGTGTTTACTGCTCTTGATGGGACTCAGATCTAGTTCAACTTTCTGATACTTTCCAAATTCCATTTGAAGGAGAGATTTGAAAATTATGTTTTTTTGGGGGGGTAGGTGCAAGTAGTTAGCAGGAATATTCAATTCTTCCTCAGTTTTGCTTGTGGTCATGTTGATGATCATTTCAAATCCTTCTATTGATTTTGTTACCACATAGGCAAAACCAGCCTGATTTTCTTTATATGCACGATTGGAAAGTGTTGTGCCAGAATATTTTCTGATGGTTGCTTAAAACTGTAGGCACTACTGTCAGAATGCTTGTTGAAGCAAATAGGAGATCTGTCTTAGGAAGGCTGGCAGACCTTTGTGCCAGGAAACTACAAAAATATTACCCTAAATGGTCGCGTTCTAGGCAGAACATATGTTTTAGTGTTCTGGAAACCTATATCAAACAATTGTAGGTGCCAGTTAGAATCCATGCACATTAGCAGGAGTGAAACGCAGCACATTTTGGTACAGATTTATGTACATGTATAATTTACAGATTGCTAAGTCAGCTGTGTTTTTGTATCGTGTTAAGTTGGTTCAGGTTGTTGATATAATTAGTACACAAACAGGATGAAAGCTGCGGGTAGTGTTGTGTCTCCTCATAGATGTGTTGAGCCACGGTAATATTTATAAAACAGAAAACTCGTTAAAATCCATTGTTGCTTTGAAAGGGGGAATGGATGGTAATCTGGATTATTACCAGCCTAATTGTTTCTTCTTGTACTGTGCTCTAAGATAACCTTCAGCCAAGGCTCAGCTGTCTTGCTCGGAAAGCGTCAAAAAGTTAAACCTCGTGACTGATACTAGCTCAGAGACAGGGAGAAGGCTTCTGATTTAACAGAAGGCAATAAAGCGTCCAAACCCCACAGTTTCTATGAAGTCCGTCTATTTTAATAATCTTTCGTAAAAGACTAGATGCGTTTGTGGTCAGGCTTCATTTGGCAATGGTTTCTCCCGCATTGCCTTGAAGTTCCTCAAATCTTTGCCTCCCCTTTATTTTTGCTTGTTAATGGCTTCTAAGCAAACATTTAAAAGACATTTTA